GGGGTAACGAGCCTTATAGTATTGGGACTGTACCGAGCTACCTTATGGTAATATTCTTCTTCGTACTGGTGACCTGTGGTGTAATGGTCAGCATGTTCACCTCGCAAGCCAGTTTCTTTACGCTATTTGCCTCTGTCTACCCAGCAGTAATTGAGGATCGTGTTCCGGGGTAATAGTTAGCCAGTGCAGTTGGCGAGTTGTCCGGTTTTCTCGGACTATTCCTTGATACTGGGTCATGCAGCTCGTTAACTCAGGGTGTGGTTGTTGTGTTGGTGACAGCTTCTACACCTTAAACAAACTCATGACTAGGTCTCTCTGGGGCCGGCCATCCTTGTTACACGAGGGGCGACCATTATTATTATTATTGTCCTTCGCAAGACGGAGTGAAGATTGAATGTTACCTGTAAGAAGAAAAGAAAGTTAAGGATAATAAGAAGAAATAAGAAAATGTAAAAGAAGATGAAAGAACAGCAGAACAAAAATAAGAACAAGAAAAATAATTAACCAGTCACCCATAATTACTAGAGTTAAACAAGTGAACAGGATAATGTCTATGTAATTCTTGGTCAACATACAGTATATTATTTGTATACCTGCACTATATATATATATTGTTTGTATGGTGTATAGATGCAGTGTGTGTATATTGTTACTTATGCGTACTCTGTATTCATTGTGTGGATATATACCTTCACTGTCTGAACATCGTATAGTATCTCTGAACTTTCATGGCAATTTTACTATCTATCTATCTATCTATCTATCTAACTATCTATCTATCTATCTATCTATCTATCTATCTGTATCTATCTATCTATCTGTATCTATCTATCTATCTATCTATCTCTCAGCGTGACAATCTCGTATAATTGGTCAGGTCACCTAATATGAAAGTTATTGGTTAAGTTAGGTTAGGTTAAGTTAGGTTAGGTTAAGTTAGGTTAGGTTAGGTTAGGTTAGGTTAGGTTAGGTTAGGTTAAGTTAGGTTAGGTTAGGTTAAGTTAGGTTAGGTTAGGTTAAGTTAGGTTAGGTTAGGTTAAGTTAGGTTACGTTAAGTTAGGTTGGTTGATCTCTGACACTTCACCTCTGTCGTAGGAAAAGAAGCTGTTTTGATATGGTAGTCGTTGAAGTCATCTTTCAGTCGTCAGTCCTTTAGTATTCCCGAAGGTCCTGGAGGAATATTATAAGTCTTAATATTTCCCAAAGGAATTAACAGACAAATTATTGGAACACACGAATGACATTTTATTTGGCAACTCAACCACTGAGACGATCGGGGAACATTGCCGGTATTATTCATACATTATGGCGGTGTATTAATCATAAATGTCAGAGATCAATACATTTTATCATACTACAATGTATATATGTGAGTGTGTGTAGTAGCTCATGTAACCTGTTCCTAGTTCTCAAGAGTTTGTATGGTTAATAATCCTCGTAAGTGAAGTTGTAAAAATATACCTAAATGGTTGAGTTAAAATGAACCACAAAGTTGACAACAAAATTACACTCGGTCTGCCTTAGCTGGATACTCTCACTTACCACCAGTTATGTAGAGGATATTAATGCTATCTGTTAAGTAAGCCTCGGGCCGAACCTCAGTGTGTGTGTGTGTGTGTGTGTGTGTTTCATTTCCACAGTCCTGGTGTTAGAAATGAAATCTGGTAGGGACGTATGAGTGGCCTTGGGAATGGTCAGTGGTCATATCAGTTCCTCCATGCAGGCGACGCAGAGTAACTCACCTATAAAAGTTCATATTATTTTTAACTGTTATATATATACTGTATGTTTTATCTCAGCAGGCAACAACAGCCGCCAGCTCAGACTGTGGTGTAGTGGCGGGGGTGTGGTCAGTATTGTGGCGACGGTCATCCTAACCTGACATATTTTTATACATTCGTGATGCGAGACCGTCCGTCCCCCGGCCTTATAATTCAACGTCGTTCAGGTTTCACTTTCTCAGAGATTCCTACGTTAAATGTTCACCATAAACCGATGGTTGGTAGAACGTGTTGAAGCCACTGCACGAAAATGGATTCTCGGAGATTATTACGTTAATTTTTACCCTCAACTGATGCCGTGAACACTTGTAATAACTTCTTGACTTTAAGGTACAACTGAAAGATGGATTCTCATGTATTCGTTATGTTAAATTCACACTCAAACTGTAACTGTGAGAACACTTGTAACTGGCTCACTTGTTACGAAACAGAGTTGGATTCTCAAAGACACGTAGTTAAATATACCTGACTTATACATAAAGACGTGATGATGCATCTAACTCTAGACTCACTTAAGCTACCACACAAACATGGCGGGGCCGCGGCGTCAGAGTTACACTCGTATTGTACAGAAGTAGACGTGTTTTTCTGTGCCCATTAAAGGAAAGATATTTATCGTTCGCATTTCTGGAAATCCAAACATGTAATAATAGTTTAGTGTAGTGATGTTGACCAGCCAGTATGTGTGTCCGTGATCAGTGAGGAATGTCCCGGGTCGGCTGACCATGTAAACACAACACGTCTGACGAGGTGGTTGTAGCTGACACACCCAAGCATAGCTCTTGTTGGATTAGCTGACACCCACAACACGTTGACACTGCCCACCTGATGTCACTGCTGAGTTCTGGTCACTGGTAAACGACGTTCGCTCATGTGGTGTGGAGGAGGGGAGGGAGGGAGCAGGTTTACGCCCCTAGCAACCGTGGCCGCAGGGGTGTAGGAGGAGGGTGAGGGGTCCTGGAGCCTTATTAGGAGGTGGAGTATCACGGGGTGGTGCTGGGGCGGCCGAGTCAGTCCCTGAAGGAGCTGGGCGGGGCAGGAGAGAGAGAGAGAGAGAGAGAGAGCCATCTTCACAGCGCTCCAGTTTTGTGAGGGTCCTGTCCTGCTCGTTCCTGTGTGTTGGCGGTGTATTGCCCTCTCTCACCTCCCTAACCCCCCCCTACACCTCCCCACCACACACCCCTCCATCACACCCCACACACCCTGCAACACACCCCACACACCTCCCACACACCCTGCAACACCACCCCCTGCCACACACCCTCCAACACACCCCTCTTACCACATCCTCCATCACACCCCACACACCCTTCACACCCTCCAACACGCCGCCCCTACCACACAATCTCCAACACACCTGCCACACACCCTCCATCACACTCCACACACCTGCACACCCCACACACCCCATCACCTCTCCACCCTGCCACACCCTCCTCAGTGCCCCGCTAACAAGCAGTATGAGTCAGCCAAGAGTCGTCATAATGGTGTCACCGCCCTCCCAGCTGCCACCCATCAAGCACCACCTGTACACTCTCTCTCTCTCTCTCTCTCTATATCTCTAGCAGTGTCAGTCAGAGTCATAGTATTTATGTGTGTGTGTGTGTGTGTGTGTGTGTGTGTGTGTGTGTGTGTGTGAGGACTAATACTCAGATTACCTGTTGCTCTTGTGTTGTTGAGAGAGAGAGAGGAGGGAGAGTGGGAAGGAGGGTGAGAGAGGAGGGGGAAGGAGGGTGAGTGGGTGGGTGGGAGGAGTGGGTGGGTGGGAAGGAGGGAGTGGGTGGGTGGGAAGGAGGGTGAGTGGGGTGGGAAGGAGGGTGGGGGTGGGTGGGAAGGAGGGTGAGTGGGTGGGTGGGAAGGTGATTGTTCAGAAAAGGTGGGATGGATTAATGGAGGGATGGAGAGAAGATGGGAGGGTGGGGGTTGAGTTGGAGTTGAGGGAGGGGGTGGGGGTGGGGGGTCATGAAACAGCTTGATCTAAGAGGTCATGGAGGTTAACCAAAAAGGAAAGTCATTTAATGTTATACTTTGTTTACTGTTTTAGAGAGCCAAGTGGCACTCCCTTAGTCATCGTGGCACTGTTACCCCCGTCCCCTCTCTCTCACTGTGGTGTAACTGGCACACTGGGTATGACTATCAGGCAGTAGTCAAGTATTATCAGGTAAATCTTCATCCCTCGCCCATATGTTCACTGTCTACAGGTGGTGGTGAGCCTGTGGTGGTGTCCAGGGGGTGATAGCCTCGTGTTCTGCCTATGGAGGGTGATGGTGATGGCTGTGTGGGGAGGAACTTGTACTGTAGGGGAGGATTATGGTTTGTGTTGTACCAGGTGAGCTAATCCCCCCTCCCCTCCTCCCCTCCCCGCTTACTGTGAGAGTCGGGCACGTAACCCCGACCCTAACACCTGATGTAGGTGTCCCCTTCCCCTCCCCTCCCCTCCACTCCTTCCTTCCTTCCCCCCTCCTAACCGACCTCCACTATCCTCTACCACCACAACCATCACCTCCTCCCCCTATCCACTATCCACCCCCCCCTCAATACACCACCACCCACCCACCCACCCCCGCATCCTAGCACAGGTTCCTCTTTCGCTGCGGCTTTCCCCTTATGGCCCCTCAATGCTGTCCGCCCTTATGCTCTGAAACGCCTACTTCTCTGCGTCTCCTCCAGGGCTTTGAACTATATTTCCAACACCAACACCCTACAGCGACGTGGATGACCTACCTGCCGGGTGTGTGACCAAGTCTTCCCTCTGGTTGTGGTGTTTCAAGGATAATTGAGCTTCACATCTAGTTTAAGGCATCACCTTCATTATACTGTACCGTCAGCGTATGAAAGTTATTCTACCTGTTGTTTATGCTTGGACGCTTTAGTTAACTTGTACTGATATTTCGCATTAAGTTTTATGTTTGTGGTTATTTAAGAATCAATTAACAGCGTCGTGATTATGTTGCAACTGATGATAATTAACAATGATCTGTTTCATTCTTCTTGGCTGTGTTAATTATTGTTGTATTTGTTTTTATTTGGTATAGTTATCGTTCTCCTCTGGTTGCCTTTCCCTCCCTCCCTCCCTCCACCACTCCATCATCTTGAGCCTCCAGGTGGAGTGCTCTCTCCCTCCCTCCCCCTGACCACCTCTGACACACGACCCAGGAGAGGCAGAGAGAGTAGAGGCCCCTAGCTAGCTCAGCCCCGCCGCCCGCCAGTCAGTCGCCCACCACCAGCGACCCGAGACGGCAGTGCAGGAACCTCCCTCCCTCCCTACACCCTAACCGACCTACCCTTCACCGCCTTCCTCGGGAGCTCCTCCTGCAACTCTTCAGTTTTTTATCGCGCTGGATCTTAGAAGATTTTATCTTCGATTCATCGCGCGAGTTTATTTTATCTTGTTATTAAAGTTACGATTAAGTTGTTCTTTAACAACAGTGTTGAACTCTTAACAGACAGCCTACAGGAGTCCACCTCCGCGGTGTTGCAGCTGACAGCCTCTGCTCTTCATCTTGTGGCGCCAGTTTACGTTAACTTGACAGTGGAGTGTGTTGATCAAGGCGTACTTCATCACCGGTGTATATCACCTGGGTTATTGCCCGAGCACCCAGCGTGAGCGCCCTACGTCAGGAAGGTGCCCCCGTCCCCACTCAGCTCATCATCCACCTGCTTGAGTGCAACACGTGAGGCCCTGACTTTTGCCGCCACACCCTAGACACCCTTTGCTTCCCGCCCTCCTGGAGTGACGTGCACGACACTGGTGAAGGAACACAAGACAGTGGAGCCTATTCTTGCTGGGTGAGCCACAGCGGCCGGGCGTGGGCAGCGCGACCCTCCTCAGCCCTCTGGCTATTTTGGTGTCTAGGCTGGCGCCGCGCCACCACACCTCAGTTTGGTTCTGACCCGCAAGCGGCGTGGATACTTTGCCGCTACCATCCCCTGCGGCCACTGTGGTGATGCTGTGATAACTCACCGTGACTGACACCAAGTGAAGATAAGTGGAGAGATAACGCAATACCGACTTCTCGTGTAGCTTGCAGGTGCGCAGGAAACGGACACCCATCCTCTAGCTACCGACATTACTACGGGTTGTTCTTGTCGCCAACTCACCCTCACACACTCACACTTGACCGCCAGACGTGACACTCTACGGTTGCCCGGATAATAAAGGAAATCACAGTCAACATATCAGCAATACACTTCGAATTTGGCGCGTTTAAAAGAGTGTCGTGGGTTGGTGTAGGTAAGCGAGAAGCCCCGCCCCGCGCGTGGTGGCCCCTCCCCCCGTGACCACAACAGCAGCAGGATCAGGTGGGTCCAGGATGTACGGCCCAGGTGCGTCAGAGTACTGCCAGGCGGGGCAGGACGAGGACGAGATGGCTGCCACCGAGCGAGAGTTGGCCGAGGATGCTCAGTGGAAGCGAATCCAACAGAACACCTTCACCCGGTGGGCCAACGAGCACCTCAAGTCTGTCAACAAACACATCGGCAATTTGGAGACCGACTTTAGCGACGGCCTCAGGCTCATCGCCCTCATCGAGGTGCTCTCGGGCAAGCATCTCCCCAAGCACAACAAACGACCCAACTTCAAAAGTCAGAAGCTGGAGAATGTATCGGTGGCTTTACAGTTCCTAGAGAGAGACGAAAACATCCGCATCATCAATATAGGTGAGTTAAGTTGTGTCAAGTTTGAGAGGGAGCGTAGCCTATAGCTGGCAGGCCCCACGTGCCGTCTCACCAGACCTTGACGTATTATGTACCCTGGGTATGTGTTATTCTGGTTGACAACGGCCTGACAGTCATTGTGCAGGCGAGATATTTGTGTTGGTGGTGTGTGTTAGAGTGGAGGTTAGACAATCTAGCTAGACGCTACGTGTGCTATTTCCTCTCTAATGAGCGGTCCGGGGCTGCATCTGGCCGCATCCGAATGGCTGGCTGGTTGTGTGTGTGTTGTAGATTGGTTTTGGGAGGTTATCTGTCTTGTGTGTCACAGAAGGACGCTACACTACTGAACAAGCCAACCTAATTATACGAGGTGGTAACAGTATCTAGTTCACTTGTTACACATTCGTTATCAACAGACCCGGGCAGGTTACGACAGCTGAATTAGAATGAAAGAGTATTTTTGTGGTTTTAGTCATGTGACGGTTTTAGTGTGTTGTCGTAGAGCAAAACTTTTAAGTACAGTATAAAACTTTACGGATCTCAAAGTGTAAATAGACGCATGCGCTCTGGCCACGTCACCGCCGTAAATACACCAATGCCATGATTTATGTGAAGCAGTTCGATTATGTGAAAAGCAGAAATACACAGCGTATCGTGATGTTAAGTGACATATCGTGCAGTAGATGGTCCACAAGGGTAGGCGGGGAGGGAGGCATATAACCACCGTAGGTTTTTCAAGTGTACTTCGATTTTCTGGGTCTTGTCAGTCATGCCTGTGAAAAGTTTCTCTCCTGTTTCACACGACCTTCACCAACCCCCTTCCCTATTCTTCACCCATTTACAAAACCCATTAACGGACACCAACGCCATTCATCCCCATTTATAGATTTCTAGGTATACAGTATATGAGTCAGATGTGTTATAAAGGTGGCCGGGTCAGCCTCCACACCTGTACCTGAACCTTAGCACTTGTGGGCGAGTGTGCAGCAGATGTTGAAATACAGCCGCAGCAGCAAGTGTGTGTGTGTGTGTGGCGGAAATGCAAATATTTTGAGCCTTAATTATTTCCAATTGGCTGACCTGACTCACGCACACAGGTAGTTTCTTATAAACGAGGCTACACAGGACTACCAAAGGCCTGTATTATCATATCTCCAGGCTATTTATTTGGCTACTTATTAGTACATACCGCCCACAGAGCCTATCATTATGAACTTATTTAATTATCGTTGGTCTCATTATCCTAGTTTTATGTACGTACCTTGTCCGAGTCGCACTTAGTCTATAGGTTATAACGTCTTGAGGCTGACCCAGGAAGCCTAGGTTATGTCACAAGGCTTCACACAGTTTACTGAGGAGAAAACTGATAAGCGATACCTATACTTTCTAAGATTACTCTCCAACTTTCTTCAGATGTACTTTCTATCACTGTGCTTGGTATATTGTTGCTTTCTGTGAGCTATAGTTTATATACTTTCATTTTGAATATATATATATATATTACAAACTTTCTAAGGTATATTTTCTGTCTAGTTTTTGTGAATATTACTTAACGAGAATCATTATTTTTGACAAGGGCGGGAATTATATTACGAGGCTAAACTAGACAAGTGTGATTGGTTAAGTTATAATAAAGCTACGCCCACTCCACCATTACTGTTAGATAACCACGCCCACTCCACCATTACTGTTAGATAACCACGCCCACTCCACTGCCACACCCACGAAGGAACACATGACCATTAATTTATATATTACGATGAGAGAGGGATGGGAAGGGTGAGAGGGAGGATGGGAGGAGGGATGGGAAGGGTGAGAGGGAGAGGATGGGAAGGGTGAGGAGGATGGGAAGGAAGAGAGAGGGATGGGAAGGGGAGAGGGAGGGGATGGGAAGGGCGAGAGGGAGAGGATGGGAAGGGTGAGAGGGAGGGATGGGAAGGGTGAGAGGGAGGGATGGGAAGGGTGAGAGGGAGAGGATGGGAAGGGCGAGAGGGAGGGAGAGTTGCGACAGCTGCTTCTCACTTGCCTAAATCAGGTAACTGCCTCTCTTACACCTAACTTGTGCTTAGCTTAATTTAACCTGTGCATGCCTTTCCTAACGTGACCTAACCTAGTGTAGCTCTCTATGACTAACTAAATCTAAGATACCTTAACCTAACTTAAAAATGTCCTAACCTAACATGAGCGTTTATTTGACCTGGTAATGTAGGTAATATCGCCTAATCTGTTAACTTAACCTAAGCCACGTTTATCCTAATCTATTAACAATCTAACCTAACCATTGTAATATCTCCCAACTTAATTTATCTTCAGTTGTCACGAGTCTTCCATCTTACATAACCTAACCTAGTAACACTTGAGCCTCAAGCTGGTGCGAATTTGTTGAGAGAAAATCCGTCAAATGTGTTTTTTTCTACTGGGAAATTGTTCGATGGGATTTCATCCGTGAACCGAATCGAGGCTGAGTGGGATTGTATTGTGGTTAGTGTGAATGAGAGAAAAAGAGAGAGAGGGTTACCGAGGCGTGGCAGAGAGAGAGAGAGAGAGAGAGTGGAGCCGGCCGGCCTGGACGCCACGATCCAGCAAGTCTCACTTCAGATGAACACAGACGCGCATACCTCCATCATGGCGGACTTCCTCCACTACAGCCGTGATTCACCCTCGCTTCTTACTTGCCACACCCACTCACCCAAGATTATAATCTTCAAAAAATACAGATATCATTAGAAATGTAAAAATATGGTTGATAAAGGAGATTATTGTGGGTGTTTTAGCGGGGTTGGGTGAGGGAGTCCCCGCGGGCCATTCTCTCTGTCTGTCTCTCCCTTGAACCACATGATCTTCCAAAACGCTATTTTATCCCGCTTTTACCACATATACTACAATTTTTCGACTCGCTGGTATATTTAGTTGTTATTCCTGATACATTACTTTATGTAGGTGTAGTTGACAAGTTGTAATGAAGTAAAAATAAAGTATATTTTTTGTGAGGTGCTGGTGGGTGGTGGTGAGGTGGCGGGAGGGGTGTGTTGTTGCCGGCACCCCAGTATAGCGACCTCGGCTGGTGGTGGCCTAGATAGTTCACACGGTGTACAATTATCACCCGCACTGACATTCACAACATCAAAGGAAATTTCACGATATCTGTTCACTCAGTCAGGTTTTGTCTCGTTATAAATGTCGAGTGGTGAGTAAACGGGGCCGCCGCCATGAGACAACAATCGAAAAGTTGCTTCCAATACTGAGAAACATTTCATGAGTTTCATGAGCATGTGGCGGTGGCTGTGGCCATGAGTCCCGCCTGGTGTGGCAGAAGCCTTCTGTCTCCGTGAGAGAGGCTCAATAAGGCTCCACTATTAAACCATTAAAAACTGTGAAGAAGTTCAGTCCCCACCATGGGTTGTGCAAGTCACCCCTAGAGCAGACACGGGTCGCCCTGTACCGTAGTCTTCATTACCCCATTGTCCCCGACTCCCAGCTAACACTTACTGACCACACTCCTATGGACACATTATCACGCCTAAATATTATCCAAACATCTTACTGTTAACAGTTATTATGTAGCATAACAAAAGGGTTGTAAATCGGGGTGAGATGGTGGCGCCTCTAGTGGAGGTCTTCAACTCAACTTCTTTATAACAAACCAATGGCGGCTATATTAGTGACTGGTGTAAACGATACTAGTGAGGTTTGTGCGAGTTTAATAAATACTTGTCTCCAGGCATGGTTACTAGTGAGGTTTGTGTGAGTTTAATAAATACTTGTGTCTCCAGGCATGGTTACTAGTGAGGTTTGTGTGAGTTTAATAAATACTTGTCTCCAGGCATGGTTACTAGTGAGGTTTGTGTGAGTTTAATAAATACTTGTGTCTCCAGGCATGGTTACTAGTGAGGTTTGTGTGAGTTTAATAAATACTTGTGTCTCCAGGCATGGTTACTAGTGAGGTTTGTGTGAGTTTAATAAATACTTGTGTCTCAGGCATGGTTACTAGTGAGGTTTGTGTGAGTTTAATAAATACTTGTGTCTCCAGGCATGGTTACTAGTGAGGTTTGTGTGAGTTTAATAAATACTTGTGTCTCCAGGCATGGTTACTAGTGAGGTTTGTGTGAGTTTAATAAATACTTGTGTCTCCAGGCATGGTTACTAGTGAGGTTTGTGTGAGTTTAATAAATACTTGTCTCCAGGCATGGTTACTAGTGAGGTTTGTGTGAGTTTAATAAATACTTGTGTCTCCAGGCACATACCAAACCATGCAATCTTGTCGCGACGTTGTCCTGAGATAATGGCCTTTCTTTTAACATTTAGGCATCAGAACAAGTGGGTTAATAAGGTTCCTTTCGAAGATGTAAAAATAATAGATAGATATTTATATAACGATATTCAGCAGGAAGGAGTTAATTGTTGTCACCCTAACTCCATAATATCTGCTCTGGCGCTGGTCTTATTGGTGTTACCCTTTCAAGTGTGGTGGGTGGACACTGGACACACCACTATCACCCCGTCACCACCACATCCCTTCTATAAACACTTTAACGTTTGTCATTATTATTATTATTATTAAACAGATATTAAAAAGAATCACATCACGGCCTTTGTAGCTATTGACGTGTGTTCACCCTTTTAAACAATATAGTTATACAAAAAACACATTCTTTTAACGAAATTAAGAAACATAATTCATTCTGTGTGTGTGTGTGTGTGTCATTCATTATGATTTCTTGTAAAACTGCCAATAATAGGAAAAAGAAAGTTTATGATTATATTCCTTTACTGTATGTTAGTGTAATATTAGGTTGGGTCGGCTATTTTTGAGTTAATGCGATTGATATTTGGTGAACGTTGGTCTACAGTGTTGAGTGATGGGAAGGTGGTGGTGGTGATGGTGATTTATTAACATTAAGAGTGGTTGTTTATTTCCAATAGGGTGTTGACCAGTGACCAGTGAAGACTTTATGGGAGCATTAGGCCACCATCAGTGCTTTTTAGGACTAGTGGCAGTGAAC